TTTTTTCACTTACAGATTTTTATGTATTGTGTTTTAAATGTTTAAATGCTTATGGATTTCTAATGCAGTTCATTGATTTGTATTATATGTGTTTGAAGTGAATTTTTTATTTATATGGACACCTTATTTTACAGTCTTAGGAATGTGAAAAATAGTGTTCAGTGTATTTGATATTCTTTATCTACTTGTTTTTGGAAAATTGTATAATTGGAACTTTTAATTCAGGTTACCAATATACATTTTCTATTGTTTATCTGAGATAATGAATCAATCACCAGGTTTGATTAGGTGGAAAATTCCTTTACACAAGGCTGTTAGTACTATTTGTTTTATTATAGTGTAACTATAGATAGGAAAAAAAAAAAATCCAAACCAGCCTATTCTTTTTTAAAATTACTACTTTGGCTTTGGTGTTTGATGTAAAATGGGAGCATTCATTTCATTTGATCTCAGTAACCCCAGTCAATATAAGGAAGTCTTTCCTTTCTCAAGCTGATACAGCTTCTTATCCCCAAAGTCCTTCCGATCATATTTAATGTGTGACATCCTGAGAATCTGCATTGAATAGTAAGACATGAATCAAAGAGGTTGCAAGACTCTAGGTTATTTAGTCTTCAGTACTTTTTTAAACTGTTGTGTATGTTTCGAAGGGTGATGTATTTGCAGCTAAAAATAAATGCATCCACTCTGGAAGCTGCTTATCTTAAGTGAATGGGAGTCTCATCTTGAACTTAGCTTATATTAAAATGTTTCATTTTTTAGAAAAAGGATTATTCATATTCATTTATTGTTTTGTAAAATTTGTTCTCTAAAATGAGAGCTAATTTATATATGGCTTGTTCATTTTTATTTTACTATAAAGATGACACAGTATACTAAACTCACTGACCACAGTCTCTTGAGGATTTGCATAACATTTTTCCTAGACCTTTATGGGCCATTATTTATGGGATAAGCATAACAAGTAGTTGTAAGATAGCATTTCTTGTCATTGAGAATAATCTGTCTCAAGGCTAAACTCAGGAGTGCAGACTTACAGCTTCTGGTAGTTTGGGTCTGTTCAATTAGGGGCCCCATTGTGGCCGTTGGTCAGAATGCCTTATAGAATGTGGCCACAATTGCTGCATTCAGAGCAAGGACCATGAATGAAGAGAGACACAGTTGAAAGACCAATACTAAATTCTTTCTGCATGTAGTTGATGATAAAATACTGTAACTGAGAAGGAAGATTTTAAAAAGTAGTAATTGGCAATATGAAATCTCACAAATTCATGAAATTCTGGGGGTTTTATGTATTTATTAATATATAAAAACCAGTACAATCATGGAACTGTTATTGAATTGGTTCAATATGTTAAAAATCAAAGATAAAATGCCCATAAAAGTATTTCTATTTCAAATGACTGAGTTTTATTTTCCAATGTGTAGTAGTAACTTTGTCAAAATATTATAGTCAAAGAGCTTATGCGGCATTATTTATTAACAGTATTTTCCATAGTTCTCAAAATATATTTGATCAAGGAAATTATTTCCTCCTCTGCAATTAAAAGAAAATTCTTTTCTGCCATGTATGTCATTTCTGTAATAAGGTTCATTCACAGATTTTCAGATCTAAAGATGTATTAGGCAATGCAAGACGTCGTCAATATAGTTTTACAAGTTACTGAATTAACTAAAAAATTAATTAATTTTTTGTTTTCTTATTTAAGAAGACTTTATTGTATGATGACATGTATCCGCCATCATGGTATCATTCAGCACAGTTCTACTGCTCTCAAAATCCTCTGTGTTCCACTTACTCATCTCACCCCCAACTCCTAGCAACCATTAAACTTTTTTTTTTTTTTTTTGGTGCTGAGGATTAAACCTAAGGGTGCTTAACCACTGAGCCACATTCCCAACCCTTTTTTAATTTTTCTTTTGAGTTGTGTGGGGCCTGGCTAAATTACTGAGGCTCCCTATGAACTTTCAATGCTCCTGCCTCAGCTTCTGGAATTGCTAAGATTTCAGGTGTGCACCACCACGCCTGGCTAAACTTGTTACTGTCTCCATAGTTTTGCCTTCTCTAGAATGTTACAGAGTTGGAATCATTCATGCAGCTTGTTGCCTCTTCAGATTGGTTTCTTTCAATTAGCAATATGCACTTGCATTTCCTCCCTGTCTTTTCATGGCTTAATAGTTCATTTCGTTGTTTTCACTATAGAAATGTTTTTTTAATAAACCAAAAATAATAATCTTTTGTAGTGCAGGCAAATAATACAAGGATCGCAGGACTTTTATAGTTTTATCATTTTCACTTAATAAATAAGTTATAACTTTTTACTTGTGGCTTATCTTTAAAAGCAAAACAAGCTTATCAAGCTTGAGATACATTCAATACCAGGTGCTTGGATCAGGTGAAGAAAATAATCAAAAGTAGCCAAAATTTATGGTTTGAGTTCCTTTGCTACATCTCGTGCCCCATTCAATCTCAGAATTCAGTTCTTGGTTTTTCAAAATTAGATTGTACTGTGGTAAGATAATACTCCATTTTAAAAATAACTTTTTTTCAAATAAGCTTTTATGTGTGACATTGGTTTATTTTATTACCCATTTAGGAATTAAAATACATCACTTACTTATCAATAACTTATCTAAAGAACTCAAGTAGGGGCTGGGGCTGTGGCTCAGTGGTAGAGCACTTGCCTGGCATGTGTGAGGCACTCAGTTCTACGCTCAGCACCACATAAATAAATAAATAAAGGTATTATGTCCATCTACAACTAAAAAAAAAATTAAAAAACAAAGAAGTCAAATAGAACAGGTGTTTTAAAAAATAAGAACATCGCATGTTTGTCAAAGACAATATTGGTAAATAGTGAATTATCACTGTATTTATTATTCTTAAAATGTGACTTACTTGTTATCAACTGATGGAAATAAAAATTCACTCTGTAGGTTTAGTGAAAAAATAACTCTCAAAGTAATATTTAGAACTTTGGATTTGTTCTCTTTGCAAGATAGCAAACTTCCTTAAGCCTATATTTCTTAAATCCACATGAATTAAAATTAGTTACTTACATAATACCTTTTCTGCTATTATTAATATGTTAGTATTGTATAATTAAAAGCTGTTACCTGTTAGAAAAAAGGAAATGTTGACTTTGAGTAAACTGAACCTCTTCTGATTATTTGCCAAGAATTTCCTGGTTTTTTGGAAAACTGGCCTGTTTCAAACTCAGTTTGATTATGTGGCTTTTAGCATGAGTGAATCCATATTGGTTAGGTCTGTTCTGCTGGGATCTAGTGCAGGAGCTCAATCCAAAGCAATGACCTCCCATAAATTTTATTACCTTTAGCATGAATTTCATCAACTTGTTAGATTTACCCACCTGATCCTCTTAATTCAGACACAAGAGTAAATCCTGAAATATATTCTTTCATTTTAATTTGGCTCATTAATCACCCATATCCAGCCATTGACCTGACTATCACCCAGTTCCTTAGGAAGGATTTTTCTGAGTTCCAAGTGGAGACAAGAGTGGCTCAAAACTCTGACAGGGGAAACTAAGCTTAGGGAACAGAAGTGCCTCCACTGCTCACTTGGAACATTGGGCCAGGGCAGGAATCAGGGCCTGGCTCTGTCCTTCTACTACTGAACCTTAACCTTGCAAATGTCCTCTTGTTCCACATCCAGTGCCCCCAACTCTGTGAACCAAATGCTGAGTTGGGGCTCTGAGCCAGGGGTCTGTAAAGAAATTCAGTCACTCACAGGCAATTTAGGGAAGTGGAAGCACTTTTTGCTCTGCATTCTGGATAGTGGACACTTCATTGCAGTCCACACTTCATGACCATTCAGGAGTACTGGGCTTGATGGAGACTGGAGGCTGGAGGTCCAACAGAGGGAGGAAGGGGCCAGAGCTATGTTCAGGATTTGTGAGCTGGACTGAGTGATGCAATCCCTGTGTGTCTCTGGGAATGCTCTAGAATTCATACCCACAGGGACTTTTACCAGGTCTATTATTTTACTAAGTGCCCATCCTGTGACTAACATCTGGTTCAGGTGGTTATAAACTCAATCTGCTGATTGCATCTCTGGTGGCAGAAGCAGCCCAGATTATGTGAGACTCTTTTCAGAGCTCCTTCTGGTCCTTTATATTCCTCACAGATGAAGTCCTTACGTTGGCCCTGGCAATAGCCATGAGAAGAGTCCATGTTGCCCACAGGAGAGTGTATGACTTTGAAAAGCCTGTGCCCCCAGAGGCAACCTAGTGCTTCCAGTTCAGGAAGAAATAAACATCTGGGTGGACAGTTGCCCTCAGCAGGGAGCATGTGCCAAGATTTGAAAGCTGGTCTGAGCCTTTGAAAAAACCCAAATGGAACCACACAATCATTTTCTTCAGAATTTCAAAGAGAAGGTTCTACATAATAAATCTAACTTAGAACCAGGAGAAAACCTGGGCTCATTCAGAGACGTCAAGTTTCTTTTTGTCTATGCTGCCAGGAAGATTCAAAGCTCAGTTTTCAAATGTTTTTATTTTTTATACCAGGCACCTAGCAATATGCTATCCCTTCTTGTTAACACCATTCATTCACATGGCCTCTATTTTCTACTTTAACTCTCCTGCTTGTGTTGCAATATAAAATGATGAGCTAGTTGCCTCAAGTACCAAAGTGGTAACACAAAACTTTAGGAAAAGGACATTTAAAACTAACAACTGAGGCAGGCAGGATTCTTTTCATTATTGTACCTTTATGTGAAAGTACATAAATATCTCATTAGTACATAAATATAAACACTATAGAATTTCAATAATAAGGCTTCTACTAAGAAATATTGTTCACAAATGTGTGTCCACCATTCCCACTTCAGAGCCCCTCATTTGTGCCACAATAGCAAGGTGGCAGGGCATTGTAATCTGCATATAGGCTATATTCGTCACAGCACGGGAGGGCAGGACAAGACTCTATCGTGCCTTTAGGTGGGATGATCTTGCTCTGGAACTTGGTTGGACAGCATTCCTTTGCCGCTCTTAAGAAAAAACATACCAAAGCATGGGCTTAGAATTTTTCTTCACAGTGCATTTCTTACAATTATCAGTGCTATCTGGGAGGTTCAGGGTTGGAGCTAGTCAGTCACACACGTGACACCACCCTAGCTAACACACTCTGGTCCTGTGCTAAATTCCTCCCTCATCCTTTCCTACAACTGCTGTGCATGTAAAATCAGGTCACAAGAATAAGGAGAGTGACTTGAAGCAGGGACCCACCAGCTGCTTGCTGTAGGCCCTCAAGATGCAGGAATGATGGGGAAGGTGCCACACTTGGCTGTGACCTGGTCTCTGTATCCACCATCTAACTCCCTAGAATGGGGACACCAGTGCTGCTAACTGCTCTCCACACTTAAGGTCCTCTCCCCAAAACTTAAATACCTCCTCTTCGACCTGCACCCCTTGTCAGGGGTTCTCTAGCAGACCTGTCCTACAGGTCCACCCCGCTGTTCCCAAGGCCTCCAGCAATGGAATGGGGGAACATCCTGGGAGCTCCCAACTTGGCAAAAGGAGGTCAGTGCGGCCTATCCTCTGACTGAGTGGGAGGCAGATCTTGCTCCCACAGTGTCCCCCACATTCAGTCTGCAGCACCCAGGACAGAGGGAGGCTCAGCCGAGGGGCTACTAAATACCTGAAGGGAAACTCTGTGAGGTCCAACGACAGCAAAGCTGTGCCGGGACACACAGCCTCTAGGCTGAGAACATTCTACTTAGGAGTCACAGCCCCAAGCCGGGAGGAAATAACCCCAAGATCCTGTGCCTTTGCCTTCTCCAACCTGTCTGTGGCTCTTGACCTCACCCAGGGAGTGGCTACTGCAGCAAAGAATGAGCAGTCAAGCTGAAAACTCAGGTATCCCATCTCAAGGGCACTCACTCTGCCCATATGACTCACTTCAGTATGCTGGAGACCTTGAAGAGAAGACTGAGGACCACGCAGATCAGCACGATGGCCGCAAATAGTAAGCCAGCCCCAATGCCGATGATAATCTTTGTCTTGAGATCAAACATCTTTCACACCTGGGCAGAGAAGTGTAGGCAAGCAGTGAGGGTGGCTTCCCTCCCATATGCCATCAGCAACCTCCACACCTTCACCCAGGGGAGGAGGAACGGACCCAAACACAGATCCTCTGTGTGGTAAACCTTGAGGGATCTTCCCAGAGAGGCTGAGGCTGGCCAGGGGTCGGTAAGAGGGTTCACTTCTGTATGAAGAGGAGCCGAGATGCAAAACCCAGACAGAAGGAGTAGAAGGACAGCCAGCCAGGGGACAGACTCTTTGCCTCTCACAGGTTATGGTGGCCCTTAATTAACAATCAGGCCTGCAGTGGAGCTAATGGCTTTGTGCCTGGGCCTCTGAACTGTGTCCACACTTACTCAGAATGACCTCCTGCTATACGTAAGCTTTAAAGATGTTTTATGGGACTGACGGAATTACTTCAAAGAATTATTGTCTGACAATATTGATAATATGCAAAGCTATTTTTTAAGTGGTAAATGTTTTAGGGAATAAAAGTTTTAAATCACCCACTGCCAACTGGGTCCTGCCATCTCAGAGTTAAGGAGATTCTGGAAGCTTCTGGCCAACCCCTGCCCAAGGCTGAGATGGGGAGTGGCCTGCATAGACCCAGAATCAGCTTCTTCTGGGACCTCTTGTTACTCATCTAGTAGACCATGGGTGTTCTTCCTAAATACTCCCCCCACCCCACCAGGAAATCTGATTTGTCTGGGATAAGAGTTTGCTTCATCTCATTCCAAAATTGGGGAGTAAGAAGAGTACATAATCTGACTGGCAAGCAGATTAATTAAACCACAGATAGACAGTTAAACCATCCAGAGGTGGATTAAGGATGCTGTTGCAGGGGTGGGGGGACAACTTTGAAGAAGTTATTTTATCAGAAGTTATTTTCTCATACCTGTCATTTGAGAAAGAGGAATCTAATCATTCTGGCAAGAGGAAATAAGGTCTATGGTTGAGAGTGGATGTCTGGAAGCAGTGTGGTCCAGTGGTAGCAGAATGTGCCAACTCCAACATTCATGCCCCAAGCAGTGTGACATCAACCCATAGGATCCCAGCTCCCTACCTCAGAGTTCTGAATTCTGTTCCACATGTAGGTATGTATTAGCTCCTATAAAATATAAATGCTATTTTGAATCAATTCTAACATTTTCAGTATTTTGACTACTAATCAAAAGCAGATTTAATATTTCAATTGAAGCCTGATAGACTGTATGTTTCGATTACTCAATGAAATAACATGGAGCCATTTACCAGGATTCAAGCACGTAATTGTTGAAATTGTTAGATTTTCACTTTTTACAGTTAAGATGTTACAAAATGAAAGGTAAAGAGGATACTGGTTCTGATCAGGTTGGCATGATGGGTTCGTCACACTACAGCTGGAACAGTAATATGAACTGAGAGACCTGGGCCGACAAGTGGCATAGGTGTGTTTTCACTTCTGACAAGTGCAATTATAATTCCCAGGAATAACATACATCTAAGGAACGAGAACTCTGCTCCTACATGAACAAACATTAGATAAGTTCTCATATTAAAGAACTAAGTTCACCAAAATATTGAGGGTAAAGCATCTTTTTATGAAAATAGACATCTTAAACAAACATTAAATAAAAAGAAAATTCTTCTATTTATTCCAAACAAGTAGCTTCCAGAGTGAATGCATTTATTTTTACATTCAAACACATCACCCTTCAACATATATACACTTATATCTGTTTTTGTTTTGTTTTGTGGCACTGGGGATTTACCCAGGGGTGCTTTACAACTGAGCCACACCCCCAGCCCTTTAAATAATTTATTTATTTTTTTGAGGCTAGGTCTTTGCTAAGTTGCTTAGGGCCTCACTAAGTTGCTGAGGCTGGCTTTAAACTTGCAATCCTCCTGCCTCAGCTTTCAGAGTCTCTGGGATTACAGGTGAGCACCACTATGCCCAGCTAATTTCTGAAGAATCAAGTCTACCAGACAGAACTGGACTCATGTGCTCTAATACTTCAATGCAGACCCTCAGCAGTTCATACTCAACATAAGCTAGGAAGGCCTGGGAAAAAGAACCTGTATCAGCTGGAAAAGGAGGCTTCATTATGTGTTCTGGGTTACTGAGGTAAGACAAGACAACTTCTTCCATTTTACATCAAACACTGCATCCAAGTAACAATCCTAACAAAGAATGGGCCAGTTTTCATTTTTCACTTTCCTACCTGCTGTTACAATGTGATAGAGCATAAAATCAATGGCCACAATGAGAACTGATCTTTCATTTACCATACATGACATCCATCTTTGAAATGTGAAGTAAACAACATAAAATATAAGTTGGTGATCTGAAATTAAATGTTTCAGGTCAAAACACCTGGTTTTCCAAGAACAATCAATTAGGGGAAAAAAGTCAAGTAAGCATTTTTTCATACCCTTCAACTATTAAATAAGGTCTTTGTACAAATTAAAATAGTACTTCAAACACATACAATACAAACCAATGAACTGCATTAGAAATCCATAAGCATTTAAACATTTAAAACACAAGAATACATAAAAATCTGTAAGTGAAAAAA